CAACCAACGTAATTCTTGATTGGTGATAAAAAAAGTACTAGCTCTTACTTCACAAACCTGACAAACCCCACCACCACCTCTACTAAAAATGTCGACAATATTCAGTATCGATATATCGACGAACTAAATATCGATATGTCGTTGCCATCCCTAAACTCACTACAGTGACAATAAGGGCGAATTCTCATGAGCGTAAGTTGACCTTTCTGGCGTAATCACGTGATAATATGGTGTTATTTGATTGGTCAAATCTCCAGCATGGCGAATATTTTACCAATAAAATCCAACCATTTTATCACGTGATTACGCCAGAAATGTCAACTTACGCTCATGAGAACTCGCTCTAAACCTAACACAGTGGCGACAATAGACGTCCCGCCGCCACTTTGTGGCTTTCCTCTTGCTAATTTTAAATACGAATATATAGGATTTAAATGGACATTTATCATACAAAATTGAAAACAATGTATTTGATGACCATTATTAGGTATATCAACTACGTTGTTCTCAATTTGTTATGATCGATGTCCATAAATCGTATTACTACGAGAGCCCGTGACACAAAAGCCTCAGTCATCTGTTAGAAGGCAGTTTTTTGGTGGAACGGTATGCCAAGTCCTCGGCCAACTAAAAGACGTATTGGTTGGCGGGTTTCCGTGTGCAGAAGCTGAGGGGTCGAGGAATTTTCACTAGCCCAAAAAATTTAAAATTACTTATATAATGACGTTTCCGGTTGGTAGAACCAATGCAAATAAACTATTTCTATCTGCTTCTTTAACAGGCTGAGAGAAAGAGATGAAAATAAACTCAGTGCGCATTAAATCTTGTCTGCAAAAAAAACCCACATCAGAATGGATCAAATTTGGCATAAACCTCGGCATAAACATTCTTTGATCGATTATCTACAATCTACAATATCCTCGACAATATCTATGAATACTTTGGTTTTTCGATATTTTGCGTTTTTCTCAAAATGGTAAAATTTGGAAAATAGTAGGTATGTGTATAATCTATAGTTGTCTATTTGCAAGGTTTAAGTCATTATGGATTATCTCTAAGAAATACAGAGATTACCCAAAAAAATCGAAAAACTAAAGTACATATTGGTATCGTAGATAATCAAAGTATAGGTCTGTTTCTGTAGAAATCACAAACCAGTCGAGCGAATTTCATTGGTTGAAAACAGTCAGAAACAGTCAGAAAAGTAGTTTCAACCAATAAAATTCACAATTCCCTCTGAATGGTTTGTGATTTCTGCAGAAACAGACCTTATGTTTATGTCTGATTTGAAACAATTCTGATTTTTTTTCTTCAATTTCCCATAATATTTACTAGCTATGTAACCTGCGGATGAAATCGTATACCTATCAGTTAATAAACGTGTGTTTTTTTTTATTCATGTTAAAACCCCCATATAAGTCTTCATATTTAAATTAAAGCCAGGGAAAAAACAACCTCAATTTCACAAAAACATTCTGTTTAAAGCAAAACAATAGAGCGCCAACCGGCTGCCAAGCCAGCGCAGAATGGAAGAGGAAGTGGAAATGTATAATTCCCACTTTTTTTCGTTCTTCTGACTTGTGGGGTAAAAACTTCCCTCGCGAACCTTACTTAAAACGCGGTGGGCATGGTGAAGGGAGGGGGAAGGCCCGCCAACCGTTTCTGTTCAGGCCTCAGTATGTTCATATTATTCATTCACAACAAAAAAAAAGCTTCTGACTCATAAGGCAGAAAGCATTATTTTGGGGTAGTGGAAATTCATCCACCCCTCAGCTTCTGCACACCGAAACCCGCCAACCAATACGTTTTTCAGTTGGCCAAGGACTTGGTATACCGGGCCACAAAAAAACAGTCTTCTAACAGATGACTGAGGCTTTTCTGTCACGGGCTCTTAGACTATATATATTCATATTTAAAATTAGCAAAAGTTACGCCACAAAGTGAACACAGTTCATTAATATGAACATATTATAGGATTTTAAAAAACCAATCATAAATAAGACTGCAATAATTGCAGTGGCGACAATAATTATTATTGTCGCCACTGTGGTAATACAGTACAACCCACTAGTTGCGCGCGCATCAAGGTTGAAAAAGATACCTACCTCAATTTTTTAATTTCTTTGTGAGGTTAAGTTTTAGTTACCTACTTCGCGAATAGATAGCGCTTGTAAACGTTAAATCTTGTCCTGGAGCTGGCGACATTTTGTAAGATTTCATAGTTCACCCTGTATAACATTTACTTACTATAGCTGCGCTAGCTACGACACAACTTACGCTAAGTGTCAAGAACTTTCGCTAGCATTTTGAAAAGGATTTAACAACTGGGGGGGCTAGCGTTGATCTAGCCCCCCCGAATAAATACCTGTATATGTTTTAAAGGGGTAATGCGGTTGCTCGAATTTTACCTGCGCTAGCTTTAAGGAAGCTTCATATATATTTTTGAAAAATTAAAAATCACTTGTAGGGGCTCATGATTTTTTTTGTCCACCCTGTATGACAGCTACGATAGCTGCGCTAGCTATGACACAACTTGCGCTAGGCTGCGCTAGGTGTTACGAATGTGCGCCAGCATTTTTGAGACGATCGAATAACTGGGGGGGGCTAGCGTCACCCTAGCCCCCCCCGAATATAAAGCCACATATCTTTTGACCTGTAGCTGCGCTAGCTTTCGAAAAAGTTGCGCTAGGTTACGCTAGCTCTGGAGCACGAGGGCTAGCGTTTTGGATAAAAATTATCAACTGGGGGGGGCCAGGTCTACTGAGCCAAGTATTTCAGATAAAGTTTATGACGCAGATTTCATAATAGAAGAATCGGAAATAGGATGACATAGATAACATCAATAGTATAGATTGAACGAACAATTTTCAGAAGCAGTAAAGAAAGAAGCAAAAAAAAGATAAACGCTGAAACATACAAATATATAAGGCAAAGAAGGAGACTTCTCTAAGCATAGGAAACGAATTAACAAAGTAATTTATAGAGAAATCCATAAAATTATACAAACAAAATCTCAAAGAAGACACAAACAAAAACAACGAGGCGAGGCAATGATAGAAATAACATTCCTAAAATGAAAACTTGGTACTGACAAAACCATAAGCATAAAAAAATGAAGATGCAACCGAATGATTAACAAGACCAAAATTGTTTCCGTTGTGGAAACCTTCAAAGCCAGATCCCGACGATGGCCACAAATCAATAACCAACGAAAAACAGAGGTTCCTCAAAATATAACAGATACAAGGTAGATACTATACAAATTGACTCGAAACAAAAGTGATGACGAATAACGCCAAAGAAGAATGAAAATGAAAAAATCCATTGAAAGCTCCATCTGGAAAAAATCAGGGAATACATCTACCTAGGACAGATAGGTACTACTACTACCAGCACTACCCAAGAAACCACAATGTTATTGCCAGCTTTTCAATAGATTGTGGAATATTAAGTAAGGCACTGAGGGAACTTCAATGACCTAAAGATAAACGTTAAACTGTCATAGATAACCAAAAAGTGAGCCAAAAAGACAATAAATAATACGTGACAGAAGATGAACCACCAGATTTAACTATTTAAATATTATTATAAGTAGGTAGGTACTCTCCAAAAATCGCTTTTAATGTTCGTAATCCCAAAATTTTGCAAAACCTGATGTAGTTTTATTTTAAAATTTGACTTTCTGAAATTTGAATTGTGGACTATCTTCGCAGAGACAACAATTCTTTTTGTATTGTAAAATTTTTTATAAATTAATAACAATAAACAGGTAAAGATTTCCAAGAATTTAACATATTTGACTCAGCCTTTTCAAACCTTGAAGATAATATAAGATATGATAATGAAGGAAGTGGAGCGGTTTTGATGATAATGAACTTGTTACGCTTATGAGTAATAATACCTATTGAAAACCAGTTTTATTTATTTAAAAATTGGATTTTATTGAAGAGTGAATAAATAAATGTCAGTGGCGCCACAAGACTAAGGGCTAAAAAATATTGTAGACTATGCCTGGAATTACAGAAGCTCTGCAACACCAAGATACAAATGCAGGACCTGCAAGTCTGACTTTCCGTATTACAAAAGCAGAATGCATTTGCAGGTCGCCTGCAAATTTGCGCAAGGTGAAACGGTCCCGCAAGTCTTTGCAATCACTTTGAAAACTGCTAAATCAGTAGCGCCCAAACACTTTTTTCCAATAAATTTGACAAAATTGCAGATTTTTTCTGTAATTTGCTCGTTTCTGCAAATAGAGCACATATGCAAGTCGGCCATATTTGCAGAACTGCAAATTTGCAGATGCAAATATACTGTAATTTGGCTCTATATAGGCAGAGATTTCAGTGATAACTGATAGGTAAGGTATATAGGTAGGTACCTATATAATTTAAAATTGTAGGTAAGTATGTATCTATTGTTCTTTCAGTGCTTTGTATTGCTTCTTCGCTTCAAAGGAGCGAATAAAAAATACGGTTAGTTCCGTTTTAAATGAGATAATATACAATTAAAATTATTAGATGTCCCTCTGAATATTAGGTCACCATAATAATAACTTCCTAAGTGCTCGCAGCTCGTTAATTGGTTTTCTTCAATTTTCAATTAAATTCTCGTTATGCTTTCACTTATAATTCATAAGCCAAATGCACTTTTATTGAATGATAAGTGCATATTGATTAATTTGGGTCTGTTAAAAATTCTTTGCTTATGGAAATGATTTTTTTTTAAAAATCAGCCACAAATTGATAAGGCTATGAAGTAAAGTGCCTCTATATACATATCTACTGCAATTTGTGCTATTTTTTCCTTTTTTTTTTAATTGATACTTTAATTGCGAATTGCCTTGAGATGCAGCTTTTATTCTCGCACAAAATTCTTATATTCTGCCCTTTCAGTTTATTGCATTATTAATTTGCATATCTTATTTGCATAGTTTTGAAGGGTTTTTCCAAAGTATTAAAAGGTAAAATTTCTGATCGGAAACCTGGTATTATTGTTCTTACCTGTCGTCTGGGCTTCTCCCCATTTACCACCAATAATCACAGCCAGACACAAAAATAAAACACTTTTATCCATTATTAGTTTATTATAAGCTCAGTCTTTCAATAATAAAACCTTAAGGTTATTAATAATTATAATTCTATTGTTCTTCAATGAACAACATTTAAATTTGAACTGCTGAAGTCGATACGCGAAATGTCAGCGCTCCCGCGAAATTCGATATGAAACAATTTTTTCTCTTTTCAATTTGTATGGTTCAACGTGAGAGAAGGTGAGATGGATTGTATGACTTAAAGTGGAGGCTATCGGGCAGCAAGTACTTCTTGTAGCCTTTCACTTTGTGACTTTGTTTAATGTTAAGTTTGGCTTTGTAAAGGTAAAGGTACGCAGAACAGGGGTTTTCAATGTGTGTCATACGAATAACAGGGACGGAGTTTTGACTTTCGAATGTCTAAAGACTATTAGAAGACGATGAGAAATGATACAGTTAAATTAATAATTTCAAATGTACCTATTTACAACAAATCTGAAATAATATCCTAGAATTTCTAATAATTTATCTGCATATCCATCAAACAAAGAGATTTTTCCCATTTCACGATGCAATTTTTCAAACATAAAGAAACATCTCTTGTATAAGGACTCTATAATGATTTGCCAGTGGTTGTCAGCACAATCCCTGGCCCTGGCAGCATTTTAAAAACAACTACATACATGAAAATATAGGAAAGTCGCGATATAATACATTCTACATAGTTTTAGGTTTGTAAGGTCCCATCCTTCTGGTATTCTTACTTCTATTAAATATCTTTAAAAGAGTTAGCGGAGTCCTTTCTTTTGTTGTTATGTCACATTCGTTGATCATTTCTGAGAGTATATTTATCTTTGCCATGGGCCTTATTGTTTTGGATTTGTGTTATTACGTTTCGATTTTTTTTTATTATGGTTTCCAGGTTTTTTTTTCTTCTAGTATAATGTTGGCGTTGTTGATTTTTTTTTACAAAGGTTTGCATAAAATGTCTCAGTTTCTCTCAGTATACATATCTTTTATCTTTTGTCATTGCGGCCGTTTCTCAATTAGGTACTTATATGTATTTCTATTAGATTTTTGGGTTTTTTCGGGTTATTGGGATAGCTTTTGTGTTTTAGTAGGATTTTTTTGTTTGCCTAACTAGACAAAATCTTGTATTTGTTTTAATAGTTTTGCACCTGAGAAACTTCAAAATTGAATTTATCGAACATTGAAAATTTTCCAAAAACTACACTGAGACACAGCTCCTTCAGGATTTTTATCATCTGTTTTATAGATAAAAAAAATGTGAATAATCCTAAAATTTGACATAAAAAGCCCAAAGTTTACTGGGTTGATAGTGGGTTTTTGTGTCAAAAACCAACTGGGTTTTTTAAATGTGCATTTATGTGTATGCCAACCTCGGTGATCTTTCACGGAAGTTACAAGATCAAGGACAAAAAGACTCTGATTATTTATTTACAAGTTTAAAAACATAAATATTCTGACGAAGTTGAAAAAACGCAGAATATCAAAGACGAAACCCTGGGAATCTTTATTTACGAAAGTTGGTACAACAAAGACAAAGCAATTGAGATTCTTAAGCACAAGTTGAAAAATCAAACACAAAAAAAGTAAACTGCTTATCTAAATAAGATATACAGGGTGTCCGGAAAATAGCGTAAAAGCTCCCTATAAGAAACCCCAGAAAAATAATTTAAAAAATATGGTGGCATTCTTAAGAAAGTTATTAGCATTTTAATGTTCATTAAAATTGGCAACACTGAAAATATCCCGTTGACAATTTCTCACAGAATTAAATTAAATACCTATATGTAATTAACTGAAAAATTCAAAGGTGACTAAAAAATGTTGTCAGATCCATTTTTCCTGTTGTGATTTAGAGATTTTGCAATTTTCATAATGCGTTTTAAAGGTTAGCAACAATTTTTTATAAACTAATATGTAATGAATCAACAAAAGATACCTAACACTTTGTACAAAATATTGCAATTTGGATAAAATATCAAAAATAAGGAAGTTTAATTTCCACATTTACCTCTTCATATTTTCAAGAATGGTCGAGAAGGATTTTTTTAATTATTTTTCTAGGGTTACTCAAAGGAACCCCTACTACATAGTGGAGAACTTTTACGCTATTTTCCGGACACCCGTTGAAAAACTGAAAAAAAAATGTTCTAAAAACCTATAAAAGATGGAAATCAGAGATATTCTGAAAATATTTCACTGCAGGAGTAAGATTAAAGAGAAATATACCTACTGTGAGTAGGTAACCTTCATAACAGAAGTTGGATTTTGTTGAGAAATTGAAAGATCAATATAAATACATATTTCAGATGACAAACAGAAAAGTTGAAAGATAAAATAACGTTAAGAGATGATCCTAAAGATAGAATTTGAAAAATCAAAGAAAAAAAAAACTCTGAACAACTTTAAAGATTACAGAAAAAAAATAATCTTAAGAATTTTTTACAGAAGTTACTTTCAGGTTTTTTTCTGTTCTCGTATAATGTTCTCGTTAGCGATTTTTTTCTTGCAAAGATTTGCATAAAATGACTAAGTTTCTCTCAGTATCTTTTGTCATTGCGTCAGTTTCTCAATTTTTCCCTCAATGTTCTACTTCTTGTGTTCATTTCGCTTGGTTTTTAATTTATCTCTGATACATTCAATAGTGTTTCTTATGCTTGTTACAAGAAGCTCTCGTATTTTTCTAGTAGAGATGTTTTGTCGCTGCTCCTTGTATATTGTTTTGTATGTAGTCAATTCGTTTTTTGGTTCATCTATTTGCGTTGTTCTTTTTTCCTTTTTTCTTGAAAACCTTATTATAACATACGATCTTTTCTTTTCCAGGAAGTTCTTCAGTATTTGCCTCCTGTTGTTGCATGTTCCTAGTCTGGATTTTCTGGTAAATGTCTGACTTCTCCGTTTACACATTCACGTTAAAGTTGTCTCAAACCATATTGTGTTATGTTGTGATATTTTCATGTGAGTATTTTGACTTCATATCTTATATCTCCTGCTTCGTCTTTATGAATCTAGTTGGGGCATTTGAGATTGGAGGAATTTTATGCAGATATTTTTGTTGATTTGTACTTATTGTAATTACACAAATTTATCTGAAACTTTTTTTCTACTTTATCAAATAAGCTGCAAAATAGCTGTAATGTAAGTATAAGTAGGTTTGATTTCAACGTACATTTCGTCGAGTAAGTATGACAAATTCAATTTTTTTCGAAAAACATTGGATATCTATAGTTACTTTGGAAGATAAATTTCTAAAAACTATGAAAAAGCATATCTCCCATTATATCAGATATAAGAATCTTATTCTAGTGAAGGACACCCTGAAAATTTTAGGTCATTTGGATAGATAGGTACAACCCTGCCGATAAAGAAGCAGTAGTTTTATAACAGTTTTAAAATTTTTCGGCTGATGCGCTTTTTTTCAAAGATTTCGGCTTCAAATCTCACAATTATTTACAGCATGGAGTTATAGACCGTGAGATAGGGACTCTTTAGTGGAGTCATTTTTTTTTGTCTGGCATTTTCAGGGCTAAATGTGGCTATAGTTAGCTGATGAGAATATGGCTGATTTTAATGCCTGCTTCCCATTCGAAAATTTGGAGAAGAAAAAAAATTAATTTACATGAAGAATTTTGTTTTAATGATCTCAAATTGTCTGGCTTTCAAATAAAAGATTGACATTGATAAATAATAAATAAGTCACCCATGGGATGAATTTTTCAATTTTTCAATTTCCTGACGTCCTTTTTCCATGATTTCGGCTTCAAATTCCAGAATAGTTTAATGTCTGTTCTAGAACGGTTCTCGTGTCAGTTGGAACAAAGCTAATAAGAACATAATCCTAGAAAACTCCTTAGTTCATGTTTGTCGCGTGGTTTTTGCCAATCCCTGACAGCATCTATCTTTCCTTCCATAACCTGTATAGTATACCATCTTCAGATACCACTTGACCTAAGAATTCCACTTTCTTTTGAAATAAGAAACATTTATTTGGATTGAGTTTTAAGCCAGAAGCAGTCAATAACTTCTTTCAGGTTATTGAGATGAGATGTTCTTGGAACGAATTTCCCATAATCATGACATCATCTAAATCTACCAGACAAGTTCTTCATGAAAGACCTCGCAAAAATAGATGCATCAGTCGCCCAAACGTAGCAGGAGCATTAGACTATCCAAAAGGCCTTCGTTAAACTGGTATAACCTGCTTCCGGTACTGAAGGCAGTTTTCTCTTTGTCATCTTTGTGTATTGCCACTTGCCAGTATCCACGTTTGAGGTCCAAGGTGGAAAACCATTTAGAGCCCGATAGAGTTGTTAATGTATCGTCTATCCTCGGGATAGGGAAGCTGTCCTTCTTGGTGTCATTAAGCTTACGGTAGTCCACACAAAATCTAAGACTTCCATCTTTCTTCGTAATTTGATCCTTCAATAATTCTCTCTTGAAGCGTCTGCTTTTTCTTCTTGTTTTTCTTTTTGTCGCCTGGCCTCTTTGTCTTGTTTGCGCCTGTGGATTTTTTTTTTAAATTCCGCAAACTGCTCATTGATATCTTTTTTAGTTTGCGTTATTGTCCTCAGTACATTGATCTCTGGATTTTGTAACTTATGTACAAGCCTCACTTTCTGAGCGGCTTTATAACACTAAGTTGGACAATTTTTTTCCTATCTTCAACCTGGACGATGGGACATTTTCGCGCTAGCTCTTCGTGAAGTTTTCCTTCTGTCGTCCCTAAGGAAGGTGATACATGTACGTGTCATTTTAATGCCAATTGACTGTTTTTCTATTACATAACGATATTACATTTGTCGGATAAAAATCTCGTGGCTTTGGGTCTGGGGGGATCCGATGCCCGATGTCCGATGCTGTGATGTGGCGTAATATTGGGGTAGTATCGTCTATGTAATTTATATGGACGATACTATCGAATCGGGGTTCGGGATTCGGGTTGAGATTTTAGAAATGATCACGTAGGAACCAAATTTATAAATCATAAGTTTTTTCATGTTGAGATTTTGTATTTAAATAATCATTTGGGACGCCAAACAGGGACGGATGGGCTTTGTGAGACCGGCCCGGGAAAATTTCGGGAAAAGAGGCCCACTTGGCACATCATGTTGTGTAGAAGCTAATATTTTTTTCTAGGAGAGAAAATTAGGCTAGGACCTGCAACACACATTTATTTAGTAGTCAAAAATAACCTTATAGAAAACATTAACATTACACTATAGCAACAAAAATATCAAGTTATACGACATTATGCTAGAACCAAAACTTAAGTTAACAGC